CCATAGAAGAGAAGCCATGCAATATTTAAACCTGCTGTCTGATTTATTTTGCTTAACATTATGGCCTCATGGGAAGGTATGGACCCCCCCCCCCAAGTTTGTCTGTTACCCTTGCTCAGGGCTCATGTTAATCTCTGTATCATTCCAGTTTTAATTATGTGCTGCCAAAGCAAGCACTATTTTTTCTTTAATTTTGAAACAGAGTCTTGTTAAATTGCCCAGGCTGGGCTCAAACTTGCAATCATCCTGCCTCATACTCCCAGTGCACTGGGATAGAAGGTGTGGACCCTGACGCTCTGAAGAGTCCTAGTGTTGAAAGCCATCAGGTGACAGTTAAAGTCATGGGCCCGGGTTTGATTTGGGATGAACTGAGTGGAGGAAGGATTAGAAGCCCGAGGCTGCATCCTGGGGTGGTGAAGCACTTAGAAGTCGGTGGGTGAGGAGGGACCAGAGGGAAGTCAAGACAGAGGTGGTGAAGTGGAGCCATGGTGCCCAAGCGTGGCAGGACACGGGTAGTCACAGCACCCAGGCACTTATTAGAGATGAAGGACATCAGGCCCTGCGCCAGACCTGTTGCCTTAGGCACTCTCGGGGTGGGCCCAGAAATCACGCTACCTGACCCTTGGATTTTGTAACCTGGAGGCCCTTCTCTGCCGGGACATGAGTGACATGGGCAGGGCAGGTGGAGCAGGTGAGACCGGCCAAGGTGGGAGTGAGAGAAGCAAGAGGTGGTGACAGAGACAAAGGACCCAGCGGGCCATGTTGAGTGAAAACAGCAGACTCGGGTTGCTCAAAGTGAGGACAGGCAATGTATTAATTATTGAAGCTGGGGAGATAGCTCAGTAGAATAAGTGCTTGCCTGGCAAGCATAAGGGCCTGAGTTCAATCCCCAGTTCTGCCAAAAAAAAAAAAAAAAAAAAAAAAAGAAAAGAGAAAGAAACTGTCCTACTAATTGGTTTTGAAACTGTCTCTTTGCTATTTGCTTCTCAATAAAATTAATGGAAAAAAAAAGAAAAGAAAAAAGAAACATAAAAAAAAAGTGAGGACAGGGCCGTGGCCAGCACCTGGGAGGTGCTCCATAGCCTCCAGACCTTATGCCTGATGACAGGGCCACCCCAGGTGACTCATGCCAGTGAAGTCCTTGATGGCAAATGTTTGTTTCTACTCTGCACAGATCACTTGTCACATCTGACTCTGGCACAGAAGACTGAGCAGCGAAAGCCAGTCAGGAGGGTGCTCCTTGGCACATGGTGGACCCCAGCGCAAGCCCTGACCATCATAGTTCTGGGAGCCTCCTGGTGACATTCTCCACACATGACTGCTGCAAGAAGGAAGCGCAGGCCCTACGACTCTAGCAGAGGGTGGCCAAGCCCGCCTGCTCCTGGTCTCCCCTGAGCCCCACCCTGTGTCTCCTCCTTGGCAGATTTTCACCTGTGCCCTTTTGGTCAAACCAACCAGAACTGAATTTAACAGCTCTTCTGAGTTTTGTGAATCCTTCTAGTGAATGCTCAAAGTGGAGCGTGGTCCTGCAGGCCATAACACAATGGCTTCTTGAGAAGTTTTGCACAGAAAGGAGCAAAGAGCTTGGGATATAGCTCAGCAGCATAAGTGCCTGCCTGACAAGCACAAGATCCCAAGTTCAAGCCCCCCACCCCCCAAGAAAAAAAAAAACCCAAAAAAACAAGACCAAGGAGCAAAGACCTGGGGGAGAGATATGGGTATTGTCTGTCTCTTAGTAGGGGTTGTGAGGAGGAGACACAGGTGGGCAAGCCGAGTGCCCCCTGCAATAACCAAGAAGACCAAGAGGAGTTGTAACTCGGGAGGCGTTGTCCAAGTGGAAGGGGCAGGTACTGCTCATTCAAGGTGACAGGAAGAAGTGAAAAATGCAGGGCAGTGAAGATTAATGGGCAGACTTGATGAGGTGACAACAAACTAGGAGAGCTGGCATGGACTGCGCACCTGTCATCCTGGTACTCTGGGAGGCTGAGGCAGAAGGACCCCAGATTTTACCCCCAGCAGATGCAACTTAGCAAACTCCTGTCTTAAAATAAATAAATAAATAAATAAGACTTGAGATGTTTCTCAGTGAGATGGTCTTGGAGGATGCAGGGAGAAAGAAAGAAAAAAGAAAAGAATTAGGAGGTAGGTGCATCACCCCATCATATGCAGAGCTGGGGGTGGAGGGCTGCAGATTTAAGGATGGAGAGGACATGAAGCAGCATGTGGGGAGCAAGGCTGCAAGCAAGGAAGGTGTATGAGGACCGCAGAGCTGGCAGGGCCACGTCCTGGGCTCTCAGGCCGTGAATTTCAAATGAGAGTCAGCTGCTTCAGAGCCCCTGCTTTCCCACGTGCCATCAGGTGCTGGTACGCTGCAGGTGGAGGCAGGATTTCCCCAGGGTTGGCTGCTCCAGCTCAGGGGGACAGAGGGAGAGAAGTTGTTGGCAAGTGAGTCAGCGCAGGAGAGGATAAACAAGGTGTGCCTGCCTACCACTCAGTGCTCAAAGTGTGTCTCCGTGGGCAGTCATTAAAAACATTTTAATTTTAAAACAAATCTGGATTCATTCTGGAGTAGGACCAAAAAAAAAAAAAAAAAAAAAAGCACACGGATTTTCCAGGTACCGTAGCACTCTTCAGATGTGGCTTTTCTGTTTGATGGACCCCTTTCTGCCTCCTCCTGGTCCTCCAGGGCTAAATTCAGTCTTCTTGAAAGCTTGAGCAAAGGCCGGGAAACTCCGTCCTGCTGGTGTGCCCCCCTCCCGACCCCTGCATGGTCCTCTAACTTTTTTGAGCTATATAAGGACAAGGTCTGGCCAAGAACACTAATGATATTGGGAAAATGTCTCTAAGTGGGCAGGGGGGCCCTGGGGCTAGACAGAGGCCCCCACAGGGGTGGGGAGGGTGCTAAGCACCTGGCTGGGGCGGGGACCCCATTGCTGGTGTGTGTGGGTCTAGTCTAGGGGAGTCCAGGAAGGCTGTAGTCCAGGGGCTAAAATCCTGGGCCCTTCCCTCTCCCCACCCCGTTTCTCCAGGACCCCAAGGGGTGCAACACTCTGGAGGGCCAGGCAAGTGACTCAAATAGACTGGGTCCTAGGCACAAAGGCGGAACCCAGATCCCAGAACTGGGCCACAAGGTGGGAAAGGGGTGTTCGGAACGAGGCCAGTGATCAGAACTGGGCCACTTTCCATGTGGGACTTGTGTTCCTTGTCACCTGCGTACATCTGAGCCCTGGACCCGGCAGAACTGGGCAGTTTGAGAGGCCTCTTTGGGGTAGATGAGGCTTTGGAGCAGACAGGCACTGCCATGTCCAGTCCTCTTAGGGTCCCTTTCCCTGCTAAAAAAGAGCCTTTGAGTAAACTGCATGTTTATTTTGAACACTGAAATTTACAAAAACAAAAAGGTAACAAAAACCATGACATAGGCCACACACACACTCACACACACGTACACACACGGTGTATCTCATGTCACATTATGTACAAAAGAGGAAGGGAGAGGGGCAGCCAGGGAGGATGGGGGTGGGGCACTGATTTCACAGTGGGGGTGACTTGACATGCGCTGGCTGCTCACCTGGGCCATGAGAACCCCTTCCCCACTCAGCCAGGTCAGGGGGCGGGGAGGAGGCCCCTGAGTGGCAGGCAGCTGGAATAAAGGGGTGAAGAGGGCTCCCACCTCTAGGACACATAGGAGGGACCTAGTTCTTGGGGGTGACCTTACTGTGTCCTGTAAGGTCAGAAAGCTGGGTTCAGGGTGGCCAAGTTCAGTGGGGTGACCTCCCGAGCCCTCTTCAGGCCTCAGCTGCCTGCAAAGCACAGGAGGGTGTGCCCTCTGAGTGGATGTCCTTCCTAAATCTGTGCTCTTAGGCCATGTATGACCGTGGCTTTGGAGGCGGGGGGCACTGCATGCCACAAGGTGGGAAAATCTGGCAGAGATCAGCTGTGAAGCACCTGCCCGAGGAGCAGAAGCTCCCCGTCCCTGCCTGGGACACCAGGAGACAGACATCCTGCCTCCCCCAGCTCTCCTGGACACCGCAGCCCCTTAGAGAAGGCTGAGGCTGAGCCCAGGAGCAGGCAGGTGGGACATGGGATGTGTTTCCAGGGAGGTGGAGACTCCTCTGGCCCTGGGCCCACCCATCCTGCACCTAGGTTCCCTCTGTCACTCTGAATGCTCCTCAATTCATTGGGAGCAATGCACCAAATCCTGCATGGCAGGGTTAGGGAGCTCTTGTCCCCTGGGGCTGGGCTGGGGGCTAAGGTCTTGGACCAGCTCTAGGTGACACCGCACCTCCCCATCCCCAGGCCACTTGATGTCACTGGGCTTCGCCTCTGGTTGCTCCAGCTTCATCCCTTGTATCTTGGGGCTCAGCACAGTCCTGACGCACAGCTGCACTGGGGCAAACCAGGAGTCCTGGGAAGTGCCCACTGCTCAGGGAGGACTAACAAGCAGGACCTCTGTCATCCTCAGAGCCAGGGCAGCTCAGGGATGCAACCAAGGGCCAGCCACAGCTCTGCCTTTCCTTCTTCCGTCTGGCTCCCTGGGATCAGCTCAAGTTCCTCAAATGGCTCCAAACAGTAGGTGCTTGGTAAATGTCCCTAGAACAACTCACAGCTTGGGAGGGATGGGGACTGTGGAAGTGGGGAACTAGGCCCTTCCTTAGGGATCCACATCCTGACACCCCAAGTTTGTTACATTTCCTCCTGAGGGCCAACCAGGGTGACTTAGCACAGGACCGAGGCTCAGATGTCAGACGTCTCATCATTGTGTGACAAAGCATAAAAGATCTGCGATGACACACAAGTCTGGACGGGTTCAAGTGACCAAGCAAGTCCTGTCCCCTCCTCCTAAGAGCCATCCTCTCAAGGTCTCCATGAAAGCTACTTCTCCGAAACAATTGCAAAGGCTGGTCAAGCTCAGTGTCCCCGAAATCTGAGCGCCGAATTGCACCACCACCCCAGCAATTGCACCACCACCCCAGCAATTGCACCACCACCCCAGCAATTGCACCACCACCCCAGCAGCGGCTTGTGGCGTGACGATGAGACTCTTGACCCAGCAGTTGGGCTGATGTCATTGGCTGTTGCCAGGACAACCTGATCTCAGCAGGTCCAGGCTGAAGCCACCATGGCTCTGGCTTCCAGGGGGAGTTGAACTGGAGGTGCTGAGCTATCAGTCTGCATTCTCGAAATGGAAACAAGGATCTGGAGGCCGGAGGCAGCACACTCTGGACATGCGTCCCCGGCACTGGGCCCCAGCACATCTCAGGCTGAGTGGCCATGGGGAGCCAAGGCAGGAACAGAAAGGGGGGCAAGAGAGGGCACCAGTGCCATTTGAGTCAAGTAGCTTGTCACTGCTTAGATGCTTTGGAGGGACTTGCGGGGGGAGGGAGACCTACATCCTCAGCTGTCCCTTCTGCCACAGTGCCAGGGATCACTCCCTCCTCCTCTCACCTCCTGGTACCAAAGTGTCCATGTTTTGCATAAACAATGTTCCAGGGGATGGAATGGAGGGAAGAACACTGAAGTCTTGGGTTGTAGCTCTGGCCCTTTTGCTCTCTGTCTCTGTACAGGTCTCTTGCCCTCTCTGAGCTCTTCTCCATCTGTCATAAAGCAAGAGGTCAGAGTGGATGGTCTTTCTCAGACTCTGATATTCTTCTCTTGTGGAGGCTCTGGTAATGACAGGCTCAAGGATAGGAACCAGAAAGCCAAGCAGCCCTTTGAGACAATGCAAGTCAGGCTGGATGCCAGGTGGGGGAGGGGAGACCCAGAGAGAGGGCTGATGTCTTTTAGACCACATGTGAACCTGCTTGGCCTGAACCCTTGCCCTTGACACTGACCTTGGAGCAGCTGCTGACCTAACCCAGCCCCACCCCAGGACCCACCCCTGCCAGCTCCTGGGTCTCTGGGATGGCCTGCTCTGTGTGTCCAGGATGGTGGGTCATCTCATATCAGTTCTGGAAGTGATCAGGACAGGGGGATGGCCAGGCCCCGGGAGGGCTGGCACCTGTAGGAGGCTGCGTGGCTTGGTAATGTGGCTCTCCCAGCAGTGATGTTACCTTGGTGGCTGTATCTGCCTGAAGCTTCTCTGGCTCAGGCTGTAGGGGTCCTGGACCTGCCCTGGGCATGGAGTGGGAGGCATGACTGTGGCAGTGGACACAGCTTCCGGGGCACACAGGGTTACTGCAGCCCTTTGGCTTTGTGGGGTCTTAGCCCCTCAGCCCTCTGGGCTGGAGCTGGGAAGGGAGCATCCTGTAAACTGAGAGGGTGCTGAGTCAGGCATGGAACCAACATTCAAACCACCATACACAAAAGCAATGAGGAGGGGGCTAAGGGTGGGGGCTCCCCGATGGGCACTGGCAGGAAGGTAAAGGAGGGAGGGTCTGATCTCCTGAATCTCTGTTGTCCCCTTCTCCAGCCTGCTGAGGCCCTGGAGAGGACAGGGTTAGGCCTGCAGCATGGGGGCCACCCCACAGCAACCTAGTGGGGGTGCTGTTGGGATCAGGGGCATCAGAGTGACAGACAGGCCAGGGCAGGGTGGGGCAGAGAGTTCTCCCATGAGCTCTCCCAGGAGGGCCAGAGCCAGGATCAGCCCAGGCTGAGATGCTCCTTCCCTCCCAGGTGACCCCATCGCAGGGCAGGGGGCTCTGAAGGAGTGGTTACAGGGGAGGGGAAAGGAGAGGCCTGGTCAGGAGTGGGTGGGGAGGAAGGAGACAGCAGGTGGACAGACTGAGGGGGAGCAGCCCGCTTAAGATCCCCAAAGTGGCAGGCATGGGAGGGGCCCTGGATGAGGTGGCCTCAGGCCTTGGTCCTCCCCTTGCAGACATCAAAGGTGGCCTTTTTGGCACCCCCGAAGGTCTCCACCAGCTTGTCTTCCCAGGGGAGGACATTGCCCAGCAGTGGTGCAGTACAGTTGGCAAGGCCCAGCACCTGGGCAGGCGTCAGCACATGGTCCCACAGATTAAACTGGGCAATGTCACCAACAAAGGCCTGGGTGGCATCAAATCGGCCTCCCAGGGTATCCTGTAACAAGAGCAGGAGAGAAAGGAGAGACAAGGAGTGAGGAAGCAGAGCAGACAACAGACAGCCTCAGGGGCCTGTCGCTGCCAAAGCCCTGCCCCTGCCAGACTCCAGCTCTGCCAGGGCTCTCGCTCCACATTCAGTTCGAGTATCACCCTAGGTTCTAGCCCTGCCCTCAAAGTTTTAATCCCACCCACAAGATTCTAGCCCCACCCCCAGGTTCTAGCCCCACCCCAGGTTCTAGCTCCACCCCCAGGTTCTAGCTTCACCTCCAAGGTTCAATTCTCCCCTCACTGGCCTCACTGTCAAGCTTCTTGCCTGCCCCCAGGTTCTAACTCCACCCCCAAGCCCTTTTGCCAGGTCTGTGCTCTCTCTGACCCTCAGTGTGCCCATCTGCTGAATGGTGGGTCAGACTTAGGGTCACCCTAGTGTCTTCCGGTTCTGCCCCTGTAATCCCTTTATCCTTATGCTCCCTGCCAGGCCAAGATAAGCTCATGGCCCTTCAGTCAACATTGGTCTGAGCCTTACCTGCTCCTGTCCCAGAATAAGGATTCCATGAGGCTTGATGGGGTGCCAGGCTGCTAGATTCTCCCCAGAGCCCCGCAGCTCTCCATCCTGGTAGGCAGACCACAGGCCATCCCTCGTGGTCCAGATGATGCAGATGTGGTGCCAGCTATTGTCCTTCAGGGTCATTGGCAACTGGGCTACCTGGACAAAGTGCCCAAACCCCATGTCAAAGGGGTCACAGGCCTGAGGCTGGAGCAGGGGATTGGGAGGATGGGGAGCTTGTGCTCAAGGACTGCCACGAGTCCTGACTCTCCTTTCCTCCAACCAGTTCTTCCCTGACCCCTTGTTCTGCTTCCCTCGCAGCCTACCCGAGCAGCTTCCCTAGGGCACTGGAACTGTCCAGTTCTCCAGGCATGAAAGGGCCTGAGGGTGGCAGCAGTGTCTGCACTGATCCTTAGATCCCAGCACACACGTGGGGCTCAGGAAGCTGCAACAACGCAATGGGCCTCAGACAGAGCTCAAGAGCACCGGTCTCTGGGCTTGGTTCTTCCATCAACCTCCTGTGTGAATTTGGGAGAGGCTGTTTTTCTTTCTCTAGTCCTCAGTTTCCCCATCAGTAAAATGCAGGGCTCAGACAAGGGATGGCATATAGGCAGCCACCACCTATTTCTCCACCCAAGGCAGACATGACCAATCAACACCGAGCCTAACTCAGTCCAAGCTCTTTCTCATCACAGTACTCCAGAAGCTTATGCTAATGGATTGGAGCTGGCCTTTAAGATGAAAAAAATTCACTGGTTGTGCATTGGGTGCTCTCCAAGGGCTTCTTTATCTCATACATTCTCTGAGATCACGATTTAACAAGCATTCTCCTAGACTTCCTTGGTGCAGAGCCTGTTTTGGAATCAGAGTCCGGGTCTGGTCCTGGCCTTTCACTGAACTACACCTGAACAGGAGGAAGGACATCGGGGATGACACTGTCAGATGAAACAGTTTAGAACTACCAGGGAGGCCCAGGAGGTGTGAAGACTGAGAGGAAGTGGACAGGACACAGAACTACCCAGCACATCAGAATCTAGCCACTCCACGGCTAGACCAGCAAGATCAGCGGGCAGCCTTTGCAGTGCTCTGTCCAGGGTGCTGAAATCCTTCTCATGGAGGACTGTCTCTTGAGCAGGCCTAGGACAAAGGACAGCAACCAGGGGATGGTAGGGTGGTGGTGGTGACAGGAGCAGGACGCAGGCTGTGGATGGTGTTCATCTGCCACAGTGTTAGAGCTTATGGGCCACAGGAAAAATTTATTGTTCCTTGGCTCATGCCTCCTCTCCCCACTCATGGAAAGTGTCTCAGGGGCTCCCAGGAGCATCATGCCTGCAAGACCAAAACACCGTGGCAGGCAGGGGAGGAACTTTGGGAAAGAAGAGGGCAATGAAATGCTTTCCTTCTTTCTCCTTCAATCTCTACACTGCTGCCAACTCTTCTCCTCTTCTCCCCTCCAGGCTTGTCCTTGGCCTGCCTGACAGCCTGGCCAGGGGAGGGCTGAGAGAGTGGGAGGCCTGGGTGTGAGGAAGTAGAAGGGGTTGGGACATGTTTTCTGGAGTCCAGACCCTGAACACACCCTCAGTCCATCACCTGCTATGTGTCCAGGGAGCACTGCCTCTCTCTGAGCCTCTCTTCTCCACCTGTAAAATGGGGCCAGTGCAGGCACCTGCTTCCTTCACTGCTACTGGGAAGGCTGAGGGTAGGAAAGGATCAGGGGATCAGGTGTTCCTCAGCACAGTGCCTCACAGAGTAAAATGGCTCACATCTAAGAAAGATTCCTAACTGCTAGGAACTTCCTAGAATCCTCTACTTGCACTTAAGGGCAGGATTTCTTACCCCAGCCCTAAGAGGTAAAGACTACTATCATTCCTGTTTTACAGATGAGGAAACTGAGGCATGGAGTGAGTAAATGAATAAGTCACACAGGGGGTGCAGGACCAGGACTTGAACTTGGCATCCTGGGCCTGACACTATTCTCTCCATAGTAGGGAGGGGCAAAGGGGCTGGCTCTTGGGGTGCTGGGATGAGGCACCCACCAGCATTCCCTCGTCCTCCCCAGAAGCCTGTGCACCTCCCTTTCTTCCTTGGTCTCTGTCCAGGAGAACAAGCAGGGCACTGGGCACCTGCACCTACAGCAGGTGCCTGGGAAGTCCCTTGACCTCTGTGCAGTGGCAACAATGCTGTCAGCTTTTGTTGGACACAAGTCTGCCTTCCCCAGTCTGCCCCACATCTGGCTTGTCTCTATATTCCCAGCACCCAGCCTGGCACACAGCAAGCACTGAAGGTGTGCCTCAGCTGCTGAGTGACAAAGTGAAAGTGCCAGGCCACACACGGGACCCTTTGGTGTGGACAGTCCCAGAAATGTGAGCCTATGCCAACCCTGCTGCACCCACCTTGTCATTGATCAGCAGCTCCATGGGCTCGTGGCCTGCCTCCAGCAGCACGATCTCGTTGGCCTGCCCTGGCACCGAGTAAGAGAAGGGCGTGCCCTGGCCTGTGCCACCTGACCTGGACCGCAGCCACATGCAGGCGGTGAAGGCATAGAGCTCAGGTATCGCCTTGCGCACACGTGCATACATGTAGTTGTTTCGGATGGGGATGCCAACCTTGAAGGCGTCCGGGGGGCTGTAGGCCGAGGACCCTGGGGGTGGGTATGGAAGGGTCAGCGGATATTTCCCAGAGTGTAAGGAAGGCCAACAGTTCCTGGACACCTGATGCATGTCACAGGCACCTCACCCCCTTTTCTACACTGCCTCTGTGTTCAGGGACCTGGCCAGAGCCCATGGGTTCTGGATCTACCATGTCCATAGTTCAAATCCTACCTGTGACACTTCCTGGCCAAGTGACTTTCAAAAAACTAAGCTTAACCTCACTGGCTTCAGTCTCATCACTGCGATGGGGTGGCACTTCCTCCTTTCCAGGGTTGTGTGAAGATTGTGTGGGCCAAAGCACATAAAGGGCCTGGCCATAGTAAACGCCAGCCAAATGAATGTTGTTATTTAGAGTTCTTTGCTACTCAGATGTTCTCTACTGCTTTCTATGTGGTGAGCATCATCCTAAGAGTCTTTATGCACATTGTTTCTATCCTCATAACAACCATCCCACTATCACTACCCCATGAGAACACCATGACACAGGGAGGTTGAGTTATTTTCTCAGGGCCACACAGCTAGTGAATGGTAGAGCTGGGATTTGAATAAGGCAACCTATGGATCTGGAACCTAGAGCCAGGGATCCTGATGTCCACACCTGCATACTATCCTACTATGCTTCTCTGTCCCCCTGGCAGAACCAGGCTTAGGTGTCAAACAAATGAGAAAATCCCAATTCACTGAAGGTGGTGTTTGTGGGTGAGTAAATTCATGACCGTGGCATCTAGGCCTGGTCTGAGGTCCAGATCCTTGACTCCTGTGACCTTGGGAAAACCATGTGGCACCTCTGAACCTTCACTTCCTCCCCTGTGAAAGCCCCTGTTCAGTTTGTAAAGAAGAAATCAGCAGGGGGGTCCAGCACTTAGCTCTCTTTGAGGATACAATGGTCTCAGAAATTGTTAATGATCACTTTGAGGGTGAAAATATTATCCTCTCCCTCTTGTTTCCACCCAGGCTTGGCCTCTGGAGAGCACCAACATGTCATCAAGTGGCTCTGTCACCCCAGGACCCCGCTGGGACTGAGGCCTCATCCACACTGCCCTCTTTGCAGGACCCACCATGTTCCAGCTCAGCCACACGGCCCTGCAAGGCATCCAGCTCCTTCTCCACCTCCTGGCGCTGCCGGTGGCTGCTGTGACTGAGGGCTGCACGCTCCTTCTCCAGGGCCAACACCTTGGCCAGTAGCTGCCCTTCCAGCTCGTCCATCTTGGAATGCAGGGCAGTGGGTACTGGAGGCGCTGGGGCTGGGGCTGCTGACAGGTTCACTCGGGTTGGGAGTTCCTGCTGCTCACAGGGAAGAGAAGAAGGAATGTGTGAAGTTGCGGGATGAGTGAGGAAAGGCACCAGTTCTGAGATGCCACCACCCTGCCAAATGACCGCAGCCAGCATCAGAGGCCCCCTGTGCAAAATGGGGTCAGAAATGCAACAGCAGGCAACCAAGCCTGGTGCTGGCAAGAGAACTGTGGGAAGCAAAGAAGCAAAAGCCAGATAGTCACCCCTTCACCAGCCGTGCAGAACACAGCTTTCCAGCAGCAAGAGCATGGGCAGTAGCCCTCCTCAGAGCCACTGGAAGCCCTGCTGCCCCCCACTCTATTCCCCCGCATAGCCTGGGACATGCAGGACAGGACCAACTCTGCTGCTGTGGCCTCCAGTCCAAGGCAAAGAGCTGCTATGTGTTTGTAGCCTCAGGGGACACTTTTCCAGCTGCAGTTGGTCTTGCCTTCTCAAACAAACCCAGAGGCACAAGTCAGGGTGTTCAAGAACAGGACTCTGGTGTCAGGGCCCCTCCAGGGTGACATGTGGTTAAGAACCCACACTTTGGAGTCAGATAGTTCAGGGCTCAGATCTAGCCTGGGCACCAATCTGCTGTAGGACCCCAGGAAAAAGCTCTCCTTCTGAACTTATTTCCTCATGAGACCAGCGCATCTATCTGGAAAGGCTGTTGAGAGGATTAAATGGCAAATGTCAACAGACAAAGCTTTCTCACTGCAAGTACCACCTAGGGTGGAGAGGTCCAGGTTGCCCTCTGACACCCCATCCAGCCCAGGATGTGGCCAGGGGTCCCTCTTTGTCCTGTCTTAAGAATCCAGAAGTCCGAAGTTCTGAGGCAGGAGCTAGAAGTTCCTCTTTGCCCCTCTCCTGGGGCACAGGAAGGCAGATAAGGCACAGGTTCAACTTCTGGAGGGGCCAGTCTCTGGTGGATACGTCACAGAAACATCCGTAGATTAATAATTCAATGAGCTACTGGGAGTCAAATTATAAGCATTCACCGTCTGCCCAACTTCCTGCTCTGATGTCCCCACTGATGAGTCACTCCCACTCTCCCCAGGGGCTTGGACAATTACCGCTCAGCCTGGCCCGGGTCTTGCCTTGACTCCTCCCAGTTCACTGGCCACCAACTAGATGCCGGGCGCTGTCCCTGGTGCTGAAGATACAGCAGAAGGCAAAACAGGAAGCCAAGTGCCCAGCACTTCCTGAGTGCTCTGAGCTGTGATGGGCTGGGCTGCATCTTAGGACAAGTATGGAAGACCGTCTTAGCCTCAAGCGAGCCAGCTCTGACCTTGAGGGCACTTTGCGGGGTGACATGGGACACAATCCATATCCTTTCATAGCCTGTTATCCAGCCATGAGGGAGGGGAAGTGCTGGTGGGAGTATAGGAGCTGCCTTCTGTGACCAATGACAGGACCTCATGCTTGTGAGTTAGAGTGACATTCAGCTCTACCACTGCATCCCAAGAACATATGGCTTCACTGCTCCTCCTCCATAAAGAGGGGCCCCAGAACTCCCAGCTTACAGGTCCTGGGTCAGATGACTGATGGGGTGTGGGGAAGGGCCCAGCCCACAGCCTGGCCATGGCAGCATCCACAGATGGCTTCAGGAGCACAGGTGAGGCAGGAAGCCCAGAGTGGGACTCTTAGCTACCATCCCAGCTGCATCGGGACTTTTGATGGTATCCACTCACTGGATCTTTTAACACATTAGTGATGTAGGTCCCCAATGTCCCCATGCTAGAGGCAGGGAAACTGAAGTGAAAATCACCCATGGTCACAGGAGCCGGCAGCAGAGAGGATTTCACTGGTGGCTGGGCTTCACAGCTCCCGCAGGAGAGATGAGGTTGCCTCAAATGGCCAGGGCTCTGGTAGCAGCTCAGGCCCAGCTCTCCATCACTCCATCTGGTGGCAACAGAGGGCAGCTGAGGATCAGCCTCCTCTCTCCACCCCATGAAATGGGGCACCTGGATGAAGTCACTGAGCCTGGCTCCAGGAAGGGACTCCATGAAGAAGTGCAGAGGAGGACTCAAGCCATCTTTATCCACCACCACACACCATGTAAAAAGTCACAACTGCCCACCCTTCCAGATGCCTGCCTGTCCCCTCCCCCAGGCTGGGGTGGAGCCAAGGGAGGAGGTGCAGGGATGGATGGAGGAGCCACTTAGTACATCCAACCCCCTCCTTGCACTGATCGTTGCTATCTTGAAGGTTCATTCTTATTCCAACATGCCTGCAAATCTCAGCTCTGGTACAGACTAACCCCAAAACCTCAGTTTTCCCAAATGTCAAATGGAGGCACAAGGCCTCTCTTTGTCCATCCCCAGGACAGATGGAAGGATGGATGGAAAAGTGGAAGGAAGGAATAGAGAAGCACATGCAAACCATGAGGCCTGACCACGGAAGCTGACAGGGAGCTCACTACCCCCAGGGCCTCTACCTGATCATCGTTGGCCAGGGCCAGTTCCCAACTGCACTGGAGCTCACTGGACTTCCAGGAAGCCTTGGACTACCTCCTGTCTGGCCCCAAGCATGGATCTACCTCAGTGCCTGCCCTCCTGTGTGCCAGGCTCAGCAGGAGGGGCACATGAATGGCACCATGGGCTAGGCCTGTCCTTGGGACTTCCCATGAATATTTACAGCCTCTCATTCACAATACTCAGAGTACACAGACAGGGAAACTGAGGCAGAAGTCTTTCTGAATTGTCCAACTTCCCTGCAGCACATCTCTCCAGCTAAGGGAAGGAACCCTGCCAGGAGGGACAGGATGTGAAGGATATTTACACCATGCTGCTTCCTTCGAGGAGAGCACAGAATACACGCCGGCTGAGGGAGGTACGCAAGCTGTCCTCCTGTCACAGCCCCTCCCCATGCTGCGAGGCCAGGAAGGGCAGGGAAAAAGTGGGCTCTAGAGCATGCGCAGCCCCCTGTGTGTGAATCACAGAAGCACAACTCCCCCCTCCCCGCCATCTGCTACGGATGCGGGCTGTGGCGCGTGGGCTCCTGGCCTGGTGCCAAGCAGGGCCTTGGCCTAAAATGGTGGGGAAGGGCAGAGGGAGCCTGGGCTCCCACGGGGTTCTCCCCTCAGCTTGGCTGCTAATGTTCTGGGCTCTGTTGCACTCAGGGCCACCAGGCTCTGCTCCCCAGGCGGCTGGGCGAACACTTCTCAGCCTAGGGTCACACAGCCAAGGACCTACAGGGTGAGGACTTCAGCCTCCTTCTAGGGACCAGCAGGGCTGTGGCATGCCCCAGGCACCCTCATGGGCCTTGAGGTTCCACTCCTCAGTCTTTTGATGGGCTGAGTCTCAGTTTGTTGATCTGTCATGTGAGCCCAGGCTGGGCACCCTGTCTGCCTTCAAGCTGGACTTTAACGTCAGGATCTCCTTCTGTATAGCTTCACAGCACAGGGCCTGGCCCCAGGGACAGCAGCAAGGCCACAGCCCTGCGCAGTCATGCCGTGTCCCATGAATCCTGCTCAGCTCCCACCCAGCTCCACCAGTTGAGGGACTGCTGTGCCTCAGGTTCCCCATTGACAAAACAGGCCACAGGGTAACACTGTGACATAGCACTGCATCGAGGATGACGAGTGAAGGTACAACGCCCATAGAACTAGTGCACGAAGCCTTATGACGGTGTCAGTCATTGGATGATAAATACCTCCTGAAGTAGCCCGCTGTTCTCCAGCTACACCCCCGAATCTTCCTGTTGAGTGGTTATATTGAGAGGAGGGAGCCTAAGGGGCAGCCAGCCAGTGTGCATGGGAGCCCGTACAGCACACAACGCTACATGACATCAGCTTGCAGGTGGCACACTCAAGCCTGCGTCTTCGCTCTGGCAGGGTGCTTCTCCACGTAGCACCAGAAGCAGACACTGAAATCTCCCCACGTGCTATGCTGCTCTCTTGCTTAAACTCTCTCTGCAGCCCCCAATCGCAGCATGGAGCCCCAGCCCTCTAACCTTATTACAGAAACTCATCTTACCCACAGGCCACAAGTTACTCGTACCACGCAGTCCCTGTGGCCCTGCGCTCCTCTGGCCCTCAGGCCACTGTACATGCTGTTCCTTCTGTCCAGAACACTCTTCCCACCCCCACTCCTCCCTACCCATTGCCTGCTTCCCTTCCAGATGGCCAGGAGATGGGAGAGGCCCTGAGGACTCCGTGCTGGGCTGCAGAACACTCATGTGCAGCCGGAGGGCGGTTCATTCATCCCCACGCCAGCATGTGGCATGGCAATGCTGTGTCCTGGTCACTGACATCAGTGCTTACTTACTAGATCTTGGCCTCGGGCAAGTTGCTTAAACACTGTCGCCCAGCCTCCTCCTCTGGAAGATACACATAATGACACATTGGGATATAAGTCATGAGAAAATGAAAGAATCTATGTCAAGTCTGGCACCCAAGACTGGCACAGAGTGGGGATGATTCTTACCCTCTTACAATTGAGAGGCAGGAGAGCAGTTCTGGGAGCTGGAGCACTTTATCCAAGTGCCAGCTGAGCTGCTCTGGCAAGCCCCTGAGCCTCTGAGTCTGGGAGGGGACAATGACAGCAGCAAGGTGCTCATGGATCAGTCATAAGGTCTTTGGGCAAGTGGGCATGCCTGGGGCCTTACATTGAGTGCCAGGCACAGGGCCTGGAGTTGGGGAGGTCCCATGCCTGCCACAGCACAGTGTGTGGGCTCTGCCCAGAGCAGGAAGATGGACTACCAGGGAGCCCCATTCTGTGCCCGCTTTCCTCCCCAGGAGCAACCTGGAGAGGGAAGAGGGGAACGAGGGGCAGAGCTGGATCATCCTGGTCTCCACCACCAATCTGGAGAAGACAAATAGGCAAGGGGGGTGGGAAGGCTCCCTCTAGGGACCGGCAGGGCTGTGGCATGCCCCAAGCACCCTCATGGGCCTAGAGGTCCTGGAGGGTGGATCCCTTCGGCACTCCAGGAGGCGAGAGATTCTCTGCCACCCATACACCCTCTAGTCCCTGGTCAAAAGTTGTCAAAGACAGCACACTGACCCCACTTCA